GGGACATCACTGTCGGTGGGGCTCATGGCTGGGAAACCAGAGTGTTAATGGCCATTTGAGTGAAACACTGATGTCTTCTAGGGGGTGGGAGGATCAAGAAGTTGAAGAAGTGGTGCAATTTTGCTTTGTGAAGGGGATTCCACTTATCCACTAATGTGAATCAACCACCCCAAACTTACTAAGTCAAAGTAAGAACCACTTTATCATGCTCATAGTTGCATGGATCAGATATTGAGAAAGAACTGTACTGCATTGTTTGCTCCATGAATCATTGGAACCCCCTGAACTTTTAATTTTAGAAGCAGCACCCCATCTCTATTCTCCCCAAACCTTTGTAATATTTGATTGCAATAATAGGGATATGGGGATACATTGGAGGGATGTGAATCTGCAATCCAGACTCCCCCTATCAGTGTCTCCATAAGCAGGTGTTCAATATCTTTTATGAAATTTCTGTAAGAGATCTTGACCTCTTCTGTCAAGTGCCTTATCTGAATGCCTTATCATTTGCTGCCATTGTTAATGATGTTTTAAAATACGGTTTTTAAACTGTTTGTTGATAGCACAAAGAAATATGTTTAACCAGTTTGCTAAAATCTCTTGGTCTAAAACATTTTCTGTAAAATTGTGTTCCATGAAAATCCATAAACCAAAAGCTCTGGCTCATTCTCCAGTGAAATGGCCACTAGGTCTTTGTGGTGGTATTCTTCATTTGAAAGAACACTTCTAACATAACTTAAGAATGATGTTTATTGAAGGCTTTTGGTAGCTACCCTCTTTCTGGTAAGACAATTTCCCTGGCACCCAGAGGGTGTGGGCAGCCATAAGTAAGATTTCTACAAAAACACAAGAGAGCTAGTTAATTTTGAATTTGAGATAAGCCATGAATGTATTTTTTTGTGTAAATATATCCCATAAGGACATGTTTCCAGTGGACTGGCCCCTAGAAAAGGCCCTCCCCCAGAATGTAATCGTCTCCTAGGTTATCTCTGGCAGCCGCTGATGTCCCAGGCCCAGCATACATGCCCCTCTAAGCTCCAGTGCCCCAGTGCCCCTGACCTTGCTCAACTGAGCCTTATAGGACTTGGCAATCTGCTGCCTCTACTTATTGCTTCTCCGCGTGAGCACATCGGTGATGGCCTGCTTTTTGGTCCTTGCAGGGGTGCACAGTGTGAGCAGCCCCACTGCCCTGATGGGAGGGGGTGCTGGGGAAGCCCAGAGAGGAGGGAGGGCAGCTGCTTGTTAGTTCAGTTATGGGGACCTGCACCTGCACACCCAAAAACCAGATGGCTTTCACGATGTAGACAAGACAGCTGGACAGAAAATCCATCCTTTCACGCGCCCTTCCACACACCACTGTAGAGGCAGAGCACAGGCCAAGACTCCAGTGCTGGAATGTGTGGACCCGATGGTCACCTGGTCAGGGCTGAGGGATCAGAAAACTGGGTTTGAGTGTCTGCCAGCAACCTGACCTCCCTGTCTCTGCTTTCTCATCTGAAAGTGGAGATAATAGTAAATCTGGGTTGTGGAGAGCATGCTTTCTAGTTTCTTCTAATGGTGCTTCTTCTTGTACCTATTGTCCATTCTGAGCCAGCTAGGGAGTAAACCCTCCAGGGTTAACAGTAGGAGGGCTCTCTGGTCAGCCATGCAAACCCCAAGGACTCAGATCAGCACTTTCCTGCTCACAGCACACGGAATTTGGGTACTAGAGACTGAAGAATGGGCCGGCTGATGTGGAGAAGGGAAGTCTCACAGAACCTCTTCAGCTGGTGCCCCATGAACACAGTTCAGTCCCTTGAAAATTCCATCTCCTCTGTACCAGGTGCAAGAGCAACATCATCCCATCCTAAATTCACAGTGGCAAGCAGATGCCCCAGTTTTTGGGGCATACTATGAGGAAAAAAAACCCATCCTTAGTGGAGTGAAGGTGCCTGCCTGGGTGAACAGCATACCCAGGAGATGCCCCGGCCACTCCTCTATTACTTGGGGCCCTCCCCTCCACCCCCAGTTTTGGAGGATAAGTGTAGACCAGTGCTGGAGAAGGTGGGATGTGTGTGATTCTCTGCATGTGTTGTGTGTGGGGGGAGGGGTGGTTCTCATAAAGTTATATGGAGGCCCTGACTCCTTGGCTGTCCCTGACTTCCCCTCTTCAGGTCTGTGAGCAGGAGGGCCTGAAGGTTCAGAGTCACAGTGTTGCCAGGGCAAGCCATGGCTGCCATTCACCTATGCCTCCTCATGGCTTTCTAGAGAGACTTTGCATCCAGATCTGGGTTGAAGTGGGGCTTCCCTTCACTGACACACCTTATGTTCAATCTGCAAGACAACCCAGCCTGCTGAGAGTGTGACAGGGAAAGGATTGCGGGCTCCCAGCTACCTTGGTGTCCACCTGGGCAGGATGGACTGCATGTGTGCCCTGCAGGATGGTGGCTGAGCCTCCAGGGCCTCCTGGCCCTGCCTACTTTGATCCCCCTTCCTTTGATGACGGGAGGGTCAAGCAGTCCTTTCGGGTCCAGAGCCACAGCTTCTGGCTATGACATTGCTGGCAAATATGTGCTAAAAGGGGTGCCCTCATCCTCTCTGCTCCAAGTTGCCATGTGACCCTCATGTCAGAGTCTCTGAGGCTCCGTGTGCCCATAAGCCCTTGGCCAGGAGGAGGCCTGTCCTGTCACCTGAGGAACCTGAGACAGGGCTGAGCGGGTGAGCACCTCCCTGAGAGATGGAACCCCAGAGCCAAAGCTGGGCAGTCAGGAATTTGGGCAAAGACCGCAGAGGCAGCTGACACTGTGCTTGTTCCCGAGCCACCAGGCTTAATAAGGGCGGCAAGTTGTGCGTATTGAGCCTGGACAGCAGCCCTGGTGCTGGGAACAAGGAGGAGGGAAGAACCAGGGGGATGTCCTGGGAAGGGGCGTGCACAAGAAAGGAGCAGGGGGGACCAGCTTGGGGGGTTTTAGTGCTGAAGACAATGACCCATCAGAGTCTAGCAACAGTTTATCGGGGTTTAGCGCACAACACATCAGGGCTCCCATTCACTGAATATCTTTGCAGGATCCTTCTGTGCTGTAGTTTTCCCTCCTTCAATCTTCTTGGGTTAAATGGGAATGCACACCCCCCACAGGAGGAGTCTTGTGGGGTTGGACTCTGGTGGCTCTGAGTCCTCAGCAGGGCTGTGACTGAGGCCAGTCACTGGGAGGTGTCCGCTGTGCAGGGAATCTACTTGACAAGTGAGGATGGTCAGGATACCCGAGAGACTATGGCCTGGCTGTAAGGACTTGCTGGTTTCCTTCTAGCTCTTCTGGACCACCGCGTCTCCTCTACAGAGAGGCCCTCAGTTAATAGAGTGGCGCCAATGAGAAACACAGCTTGCAGGAAGAAGCCACTAAAAGCCTCCTGTCCCTCCCCCTGCCCTGGGGTGTGGACTCTGGATCAGGCAGGGTCTATCCTGGCCAGGGTCAGGTGAGGGCAGGCTGTAGCCCAGGCCATACCCAACTTCCTCCAGCACCTTGGGCAGGAAACAACAACCTACCCAGAGCTGCTAGGATAATGAGCAAGTGAGGGTTGCAGGGAGCTGAAAAGGCTGCCTTCAGGGCATGCAGGTGAGGTTGAGAAAGTGGGCCAGATTGCGCTCCCCTGTCCTCTTCCTGCCTGTCTGCATTGTCAGTTGTTGGCTCCTTTCTCATAAACTGCGACAAGGCCAAGGATCAGGAGCCCTTGCTGTTGGGTGGGTTCTCAGTGGATTTGAGGTTCCTGGGATAATAGTAGTCCCTGCAGTAGGGAGTAGTGTCAGCCAGGTGCCTAAGATGGCAGAGAGGGAAGAGATGGGTGATTTGGGGAGAAGGCCAGGGGAGTGGCAGGCAACCTCCATGGCTCCCTGAGGCCTGCAGACCATATACTGGGCAGGATGGGCACTGGCAGAGGGAGGGGCGGAGACAGTCTTCCAGCACAGAGCTGGACACCCCATCTGTGGGTCTGATGCTCATAGCATGAGCTTGGGTGGGAGGCTGTGACCCGGGCAAACGTCTGCTGGGTTCCCCCACCCCGACAGCCCCAATTCTCTGAGTACTCTCTCATGTTTCCAGGTTTGAAAGCATCATCTCCAGGGTTCAGAAAGGGAAACATAGCTTCCATGGGTGACAGCGTGATGACAGAAGGTGGTACGTGATGGGCGTGCTGTCAAGTAAAGAGTGAAACAGAAATCTCAGTCACATTTGTTCCATGACTGTTATCACTGGTGTTATAAGAGGAATTTTAAATTGGGCCAGTAAACAAAAATTTCTCAGCACCATCTTCTGGAACAATCGTCTCTTCTGTGACATAAACCAAACCAAAATTTGGTCAAGGCCTCACATTGCATGAAGGGTCTCAGGAGGCAAGTGTGGAGTCACTGCTGGTTCTCGCTATTGAACCTGCCTTTGCTCATGGAGGGAGTCTCTGAATGGGTCAAATTGAAAGTGCTGAGCTCTCCCTTCCCCACATAATTCCAGCACCTTCTATGTGGCCTCCATTGTAAGTTCTCTTATTTCTCTGAAGTGCCTTGTGCCTGGCACTATATACAGCTGGGGAGACAGAAGTGCTGGCAGGAAAGGAATAGCCCATGAGGGGCAGATTCTCTCCCTCTCTCTTCTGTGCTGGCCATGGAGGAGGCCCCTGTAACCTGTCAGAGGGTTGGGGTGTGGTGGACAAGGAGAAACAATTCCAGGTAAAGGCTTTCAAGGCTAAAAGTCATGTGACTAATTATATCCCTGCAAATCCATCCACATGCACTTACACAAATGATGGCAGAAATTCTTTTCAAACATGGGGAAAGTTAGTCAT